AAAAACGATGTAATTTATATTTGGTTTAATAATATATTTTTTTATAAAGATAATAAGTAATTATTTTGTTAGAACTTCATAACCATCCTAATTATATTTTAAATTCTTTATTTTTTAAAATGAGATGTTTATTCTTTATTTAATTATGTTTATCCGCAGTTAGTTACACGAATTCAAACATGAAGCTTTAATAAGTTATATTTATGCACAACTTATTTGTAATCTTGAATTTTAAGTAATATACATCAATAAAGAATACATCATACATAAAAAAATGACTTTTAAATAAAAATCCTTTTATTTTTAAACAAAATTGTATTTTCAATTTTGATTTAAAAATGGTAAAAACAGCTATTATTAATCCCAAATGAATGGCCACAAATTGTTGTATTTGCTTTTAAGGGAATGATTCCCAAGCGCGCTAAATGCGCTTAAATGTTCTTCGCCAACCATTTTTTATTTTTATTTTTTTAATTAATTTTGTTTGTATATTCAAAATTATTATTATTTTTTAATTCAAGATTAATATATTTTGATTTCCATAGATTACATTATTTCTAGGTTTGTTTGTTACTAACTTAATGAGTTTATCAAGACTTACAGTTTATTTTGTCAGTTATAAATGATTATTTGATGGTGATCTAATGATACAGAAAATGACTTATTCAATAAGTTTTTAGGGGGAGTTTTATACAAAAAATCAAGTTTAATCCAAAATCACCCCTCCCAAGTAAAAATACGCTTCTTCTATCTAAGAAAAAACTCACATAAACAAAAACTTTCTTAACTTATAAAGACAACTCTATTCATACATGACTTAATGAAAAACTAACCAAACAACTCCTAACTGTTATCTGATTTAATATTAAATTTGAAATTAAACAAATAAAATAAATTAATAAATAAAAATAAGATAAAGACATATAATTTATAGATATTTTTAGGAGTAAATTATGATTTTCATTTTTATGATTTCTTAATAATTTTAATTTGCGTTCTTATGGTTTAGAAATTTGATTTTCGTGGGTTTGCAATTTATTGTTATTTTCATAATTATGGTTTGTAATTTATTGTTATTTTCATTCTTAACCTAATTCGTACTTTTTAAGTATAAATGACCAAAATAGTAACTAATCATAAACCAAAGGGACCGAAACAACAGTAGACTGTAATTATAAAGATGAAAATAGCAATGAATTTTAAACCATAGGAATAAAAACCAAAATTTCTAAACCACATGGATAAAAATCACAGTTCTTAACAAACCACAGGGATGTAAAACATAATTTACTCTTTCAGGTGGTGCTTGGGATTGCTTATTTGAACTACTTATTGACTTATTCTGATATGGTACTAGTATTAAACAGTTTTTAGTGTTTGAATGAGAAAAAAATAAGGCTTATATCGGTGTCAAACGGGTAATAAGGAATTTTTGATAAGTTACTCATTTCTGACTTATCATAAACAACTTATCAGCTTTGAAAGCCTAATCATTTTACTTCTCATCAGATCACCTTTGTGTCCTTCATGTTTTCTTTCTTGTTTCACCATCTGAATTCAGCCAGATACTCTCATCTCTCTCTCTCTCACACACACACACATACATAAACACCAAGAACACACAGTGTGAATAGTAGTAGAATCAGCATATATCAATGAAGACGGTGATTGATTGATCAAAACAAATACGATTTATGTACAAAACCAGTATCGATCCACTTCTTAATCCCTTATTTGCAAAGAATGGAGATAATCGTAGTTGTATAGATGAATTTGGATGAATTCCAACAAGTCTCTACCTACCTATCATCAATTGGAGATTCAGCCAAGAAATTCCGACCCCATTTGTAAAAGAATGAGCAAATAGTCTGTAAATTGAGAGATGGAGATGGGGTTTATAAAGTTTGTCGATTGAGGTTTAGGTTTTGCAATTAGGGTTACAGAAGGATGCTCTGGTTGATGTCGATGAATACTTAGAAAATCATCCATGAAGGTTAAGGGAGATGGGGAATGTCCTTTTTTTGTCATTTTACGTGTATAAGCAAAAAATTTCGAAAACTGAAAATCAACTTATCAACTTATTACATTTTGGTACCCGTCATAAGCTAATTCAAACACCTTTTATAAAACTCTGATGTAACACCACACAAGTTGATAAACACTTTTACAAAAAAGCATAAGATGTTTTAAATAAGCAATCCCAAACAACCACTCAATTGAAATAAATAATGAGTAATGTTAATTTAGCAAATTGCATGCTCAACAAAACACACACATGGGTAACATACATTCATGCAGTCAAAGACCTTCCAGCCTAGTGGTAAGGCTTGGGCATGACATAGTCATGAACCCGAGTTCGAGCCCTGGGAGGGGAGTGTTGGCGACATTTAAGTGGGGTCATGTTTAGCCTCCAAAATTGCTGGGGATTAGTCGGGCTTTGGCCCAGACACCCTATAAAAAAAACAAAAAAAAACATACATCCATGCATACAACTACAAGCATGCATACATACATACAAACATCATTCATCATTGTTTGTTTTCTATATCGGATAAGATTGTAGTACATCAAAACGTATCATATGCAACAATTTATCTGGTAAACACTTACCCAGGTAAGAGTCATCACCCTCACTTACCGGGTAAGACTCTCCGTCCTTATTATCGCTCTTACGGAGTAAGATTATTGGCTCTTGTCATGTTCATCCAGTGAGGAAATTGCCCAGTAAATTACTTACTGGGTAAGCGTTTAATAAACGTCCCTTTAGTTTAATCAACCTTCTAATAGATTAAATCAAAATACAGTTAATTAGATCTAACAAATCAAATTCTTTCATAAACATAAAACATTCTTATCAGATTCTCTTGTTACATCTTTCATGCATATTTAATAATACCAACAGAGTTATTCGATATGGTATTGTTCTAAAAAGTCATAACTCTAATTAAACAGATCTTAACCTCCGTAACCTAAATTCAAGATTCAGTTTGATTGTGGATTTCCGTCTTTTTCTGGCTTATTTTATCATCACTCCCAACTCGAATTTAAGTTTCATTTAATTAGATTGGGAATTTGATGACGGGGTAGGGTTTTTCAGACTCTGAATGCTCGGTTTATGTATTTAATACATCACGATGAATGAATTGTACCCGTGAAGAAAAAAAACAAAAAACTTGGTTGGAAGATGAGATTCGATAAACATATATACCATATACACATAGCATCATTACGTTTAGAAATGCTTAAAACCAAGATCATCAAGTTCTTCATACGGAATTTATTCAGAAGATATATGAAAATAATTTTCTTGAACAGTATTTCTATGATGATATAAATCTGTATGCATTAAATGGATAAGTTGGTCTCTTTTTTCTTTTTGAAAAAGCCAGCTAACGATTCATTAAACAGACGTTAGATATATCAACTCATTATCCACGAGGCACGTTCTTTGTATCTGATTATTAATTGTTAATACTGAGTTAAAAGAAATTTATATGACATTTCAAAATTGTATATGAATTCTTTTAATGTGATTTATGGAGATAGGCCCATTTTTGAAACTCAAATACAAGGTTTTTAAAGATGGCATAGTGTTTTATAACCACAATACTTGCATTTTTCATTTACACATAATAATAATAATAATAATAATAATAATAATAATAATAATAATAATTATTATTATTATTATAATATATAAAAATACCATTGTGTTTAATATTAATCAAGATATATATGATTAATTACAATTTCTTATCGGTACAACAAAACTGATTTTATAATACGTCTAAAATATAGAAGTCTCATAAAAGATACTTTATATGACTTAAGTTTATAGGTGCAAACCAAAAAATGTCTTATCTAAAAATGTTACAATAGGTTTATAGGGCGTTTTTAGGTGTTTTAACAAGTTTTTTAAGACATTTATAGAATAAAGTGTCGCATTAAGTGTTTTATAGAATATTATTTGAAAAAATGTTCTATAAAAAGATGGGTTCCTAGGGCATTTTTCAAAAGTGTCATATAAAATAACTAATATGATATTTTATTTTAGAGATGTCTTAAAAAACTTGTTAAAACATCTAAAAGCGTCTTATAAACTTATTGTAGTGCTGTAAAATATGACGTTTTATAGTTTGGTCCCATAAACCTAAATTCTATAGAGTATTCTATTATGACGCTTAAACAATCTGGCGTCTTATAAATCCAGGTTTATTATAGTGTACTAAGACTGATATATATTTTATAAAAGAGGAGATAACTTATAAATAAAACGTATTTTATGAACTATTGTTTGCTGTGGCATACTTAGGTAGTTTTTTCTTTGCTTTTTTTCGAGTTCGTCTCTTTTTTACGATAACTCACAGCTCTTCTCTTCTGAGTTTTATTTGCTTCTCAATAAATATGTTGCCTTAAAAAAAATCAACTTATTATAAGTTAGAATGATTTAACTTCTTTAAAAACTTCTTATTACTGGTTTAACACCGATATAAACTGTTTATCTAAATATTAAAAAATATTTATTACACATATCACACTGGAATAAGTCTGTTTTATAAGTAATTTCAAACACCCTTAAATAAAAAGTGAGGTTTCCATGAAATAGGAAGGGGACAACCGTTTTGGGTGAAAAACCAAATTTGTATAAATAATAATGATTAATTTATTACCCACCAAACCCTTAAATAAACATTTAAAGTTAAAATTACAGAATAGCCCTGGTACCTGCACTCACATGGCAAACAACACAATCTCTGTAAATATCTCAAACCTTCAGTGGCATTTTCGTCTTTTTAGTTCACATAAAACCCCTATAAAACAACAACCCCTAGATACCGTTTTATCCCAAAACCGTAAAAATCACGACGGAGTTCTCTCAAACCACCAACTGCGACGGCGAAATGTCACCGGCGATTGTGAAATCAAGCAGGATTCGCCACATTGTTAGGGTCCGCCAGATGCTCTGCCGTTGGCGTAGAAGAGCCACATCGTCGTCTCGAAGGTTGATGGCAAGCGACGTTCCGGCGGGACACGTCGCGATCTGCGTGGGTATCAGTTGCCGGAGGTTTATCGTGAGGGCAACGTACCTGAATCATCCGGTGTTCCAGAAGCTTCTGAGAGAAGCCGAAGAAGAATACGGCTTCTGCAACAAAGGTCCGTTAACGATACCGTGTGAAGAATCGGAGTTCGAAGAGATCCTCCGGTTCGTTTCTCGACCGGAACTTGATAACAATAACAAATCCGGTCGGCTCGAAGACTTTCACAGATTTTGCCACGTCGGTTACGTAGCGGAATCTAAGCCGCTCCTTCATGGATCCGTGTACTAAAAAGCAGCTGCTCGTAAGGAGAAACTGAGTCATCTCGGACTGAGTTAAACCGAGTTTGATAAATCTAACTACTATTCTAAAATTTTAAAGACTAGAAGTAGTTTAGAGACTTTTTTTGTTGTCTATTTCACCTTTTTTGTGTAAAATCGGGGGTGAAGTAGAATGGTTGGTCGTGTTTTTTTTGCTTGGGAGACTCGGAAAGTGAGTTGTAAATGAACTCAGACCGAGTCGTTCCGAGTTGAATGGCAAGAAATTAAATTCAAGTTTGTTTTATTTTGCTTACGCCTACTTTTTTATTGTGTTTCCCGAATTGGCAAAACCGGCCCCTGTAATTTGTTGACTTATCTAAAACTGATCCCCCCTCTTTTCTATTAGTTTATATTCCACACCTCAATATTTCATTTCCTGTATAACTGATCCTTCAAGACTAGGGTGCTCAAAAACCGGATCAACCGGCCAACCCAACTTGACGCGAAATAACCCAACTTGACGCGAAATAACCCAACCGGATGTTCAATTGAGTTGTAAAATTTTAAACCGTAACTATTGGGTTGGAATCGGGTTATGGTCATTTGAACTCAACCTAATCTGATGAACCGATATCATTTTATTTATTGGATTTAATATGACTAGTTGTGTACCCGCGCAGTGCGGCGGAAGCCGTGAATTTTAATGATTTTGAAGTTTCATTGGTTTTATTAGAGAAAATTGTTACACTTGGTCTTTACATATTAATACAACTTGAATAATTAAGAGTTATGGTTCCAATTACAGTCTATTGATGAAAAAAATTGTATGACAGTTTAAAATCCAATATATTTAAAATCCAACATATTTAAACGATTTCACAAATGTGTTCGATTTACACCAAGAGCAAAGAATTAAGTGTGAGATGAATTGAAGAACTTTTAATAACTCACGGTGAATATCAGTTTAAATCTCACATTGGGGGACGGAGAGAAGACATAGAGGTATGAGAGGGTGAAGGTAGGAGTGTAAATGATACGAAATAACTCGCGAGTTACTCAAGATCGACTCAGTCAAAGCTCGGTCAACACTCAACTCGAATAGACTCGACTCGATATATTCTCAATTCGAAAAGCTCGTGAGATACTCGATTATTTTACATATAATTAGTTTTAAAATATAATCAGTTTTTATGATAAAATTTATAAAATATAAATAATAAAAATGTCTTGTATTTTTAGATTTTAAACAAAATTATGCATTTTTTAATTATAAAACTTAATCAATTATTTTTTATTAAAATCACAATTAAAAAAAGATTAAAAAAAACTATAAAAAATGTTCGTAAAATTGTCCCACATTGGAAGAGAGATGGTAAAGAAAATGAGAAAAAATGTTATAAAAAGAAAGGGAGGTGAATGAAATTTCTAACTTTGTCTTTTTGATGATAAAGTTTGAAGTTGATCCCTTTAGTTTTATAAAACTAAGATAATACCTTTAAGTTTTAAAATTTATAAGAAAAGACCCTAAAATTTTATAAATTTCAATGGGTGAGTTTGGTTCGAGTTCGAGTTCGAGTTTGAGTGAAGCTTGATTTGAGTTGTAGTTTGAGCTTGCTTCGAGCTCGAGTTCGAGCTTGAGAAATAGTTATCGAGTTCGAGTCGAGCTTGATTCGAGTTCGAGCTTGAGAAATAGTTATCGAGTTCGAGTCGAGCTTTGATTTTTACTACTCGCGAGTTTTCGAGTCGAGTTCGAGCTTGAGAAATAGTTATTGAGTTCGAGTCGAGCTTTGATTTTTACTACTCGCAAATTTTCAAGTCGAGTTCGAGCTTGGAAATTGGGTTTCGAGTTCGAGTCGATTATAGTGATACTCGAGCTTGACTCGCATCATTTACACCCCTAGGTGAAGACATAAGTGAAAGAGGTCAAAAATATCTTGGGAACATGAAAAGAAAATGTAATATGGTAACTTGTACTATATATTATTTTAATTGTAGATTAAGATATTTTAAAACTGAATGCATAAAGTATTAGTACTTAATGCATTATGAGTTGTTTTTAAGACTTTGTGCATAAATGTATAGCACTTTGTGCATTAAAAGTTGTTTTTAAGACTTTTAATAAATATGGTTTATAAGGTAGTATAAATTATGTAAACTAGACAATTACACCATTACGTAGTTATAAAAATTCGATTAATTTTTTGAATCAAATCGAGTCATACAAGCATACATTTTTTTTTGAGTTGGACATGTTCTGATGTTCTAAATCATACAATCGAAATATAAAATATGATAAAGAAGTTGTTGCTAGCAATAAACTTCGAGCTCAAGCTCAAATCAATCTTTAATGTTTGATTAAATTGATCGATCAAAGTAGTCAGATTAAAATTTACATATTTGATTATCACATTTTTAATCGTAGTAATTACTGTAAAAGTACATGTCAACACTTAAGGGTGCTAAAAAACCCGAACAAACCCGATCAACCCAATATATCCAACCCAACACGAAATAACTCAACCCGGAGCAACTTAATGTCTAATCGAGTTGTAAAATTGTCAAACAGTAGGTATTGAGTTGATACTGGGTTACTATTATTTGAACCCAACCCAACTCGATGAACCCGATATCATTTTATTTCTTGGATTTAATATGATTGTTTAATTTCTATTAATATGTACATTAGACAATTACACTATCATGTATGCTATTCATATACACATTCAATGTATTCACATCTTTATATAACTCATGCGTATATATGTTCACTGTGAACATATATATGTAATTGAGAAAATTAACTGAATGTGATATACGTAAGAAGTATGGATAAGTTGTATTAAATGATTGATGATGAAAAAGAAAGTATGAGTAGAGAAATAACATATTCTAGGTTAGAAAAATATTTTAATGTACCAAAGTATTAACCCGACCAACCCGTACAGGTTGGGTTGGGTTGGGTTAAGATTTTTCAAACCGCAAACATTGGGTTGGATTGTTCAAATGTCTTCAACCCGATCAACCCAACTCATGAGCACTCCTGTCAACACTCGTGTTGTAATTATTAGCAACATGCTCTAATAAAATTAATAATTCAATTGTTAGAAAATTCAGAGATGTTATATTTTGTTTTTAGAACAAATACATGTTGTCCCGTTCAAAAAGAAAAGACAGAAAACCGGTTTTTGTTTTTAGTTATATAGTTTAAGAAAAAGAATAAAAAGCTTCACATGTTGCATTTTCTATCGACTAAGTACAAAAACGACCGATAAATCACCTACTTTTAATATTATGTTTGTACAAATCTAGTACAGTACGACTTAGGTTTCTGTCTTAAATAACCAAAGCGCTCTTGACCTCAATATCAGTCATTTTGTGTAATTTGCATTTTTAATCCCAGATTTTCAGTATTTCTTAAGATTTGAACTTAATTGTAATTTTGTTTGAATAATGTAGTTTTAATGGTATATAAATTGTTGAATTAAGCTGCAAAGGTCGAATCAGTACTACTCAAAATGACAGTCGAATCATACTACTCAAAGCTAAAGTTGAATATCTAATTGGTTGGCGAAGCAAAATGTAACATCTCAAACACAAAGCAGTAACTTCTTAATCAATTTAAAACCACATAGTAAGGTATTAGTAGTCTCTACAAGTAAAGTAAATGCAACCACAAGGGTGGTGTCTGATTGGTTTGAGTTTAGCTCCAAATGTCAAAAGTACCAAGAGGTCCCAGGTTCAAATCCAATGAGGAATAAAAATTCTCTTGTGGTGACTCCGGGCTATCTGTAAAGAAGGTGGTTGTCCTGGGATTAGTCGGCTCGCATAGCAGGTTGGATATCCAAGTTAATAAAAAAAAAAAGTAAAGTAAATGCTTATAAGGTGTTTAGATTTCCACTGTCTATCAATATAGGATGAGTTATCCCTCTCACAAAAATTTTGGTTGTGTGCACACCCAAAATCAATACTGCAGGAGATGTATGAGATAAAGTCGTTACACATTGAGAGCCATTTGCTCCATTACCATTTGTAGCACCTCTAGCAACAGTATAGCTGTGAGTGTAATCCATATTAGAAATATTCCAGGCTCGAGCCTGGGCACTGATCTACTGCTAGTAGGATGCATGTGTTGATTTACCTCCACCAAGATGAGCGTTAAGGGTGACATCTACCCTTTTTTTTTTATCCCATTCGGTAACTTCTAAATCAACTTACAACAATTATAAATGTTACGTGTCTACAAGTAATGGTTCGGAAAGGTGCTCAAATTTCTCGCTCTATGATGGTTGTCACACAGGTTTACCAAGGATAACAAACCATACGCCATTGCCAAGCATAAACCTATCGAGTTTTCGCAACCAAACGAATTTAGTTTTGCTCAACTCAAATAAATTGATGATTGCTGATATAATATAATGTAATTTTTGTAAGAAATTATAAAATAATGATTACTGAAATGAAGTTATTGTTTATTTACTTTTCACCTGAAAGGATCTTTTTGATTAATAATGTAACAGAATAACATAATTAACGATTTCATATAAAAAATTATTTATTTTTTAATTTAGAAGAAACAAAACAAGATGTCGATTGTTTGTAAAATAATTACACCTAGGCATCACATGAGGATACACTTAATTATAATTATTGATTCTTTAATCACTCAATTAAAAATACCCAAATAGCCATATATATATATATATATATATATATATATATATATATATATATATATATATACACATACACACATACACATACATACACATACCGTTAGTTATTTATAGAAAAAATCACCAATTAGACTATTTTATTATGACACTGAATTCAAGAACCTGTTTTTAATTAAAATAATGTTAAATACAGTTGAATAAAAAACTTAGAGATACTGATTATAAATACCCAAAAAGCGAATTATACATATACACACATACATGTATATGTATGATATTCATCATGAATATAGATTATTATTATGATATTCATAATGAATATGCATACTATTCATCATGAATGTATTATATCCTCATTCATGCATACTCTAATTTTTTTATTGGGTTCTTAATTGGTTTTAATTCAACGGAAAATAATATCAATGTCGTCCTTGATGTGT